ACATACATACATACAGACATACATGTGCGTTTATATATCTGTATATGCATGCATGCATAGGCACACATGCATGCATGCAAGATGCAAGTCTATACGGATGTATGCATGTATGCATGCACCTATGTGCAATGTGTGTATGCATGCGTGCATTTATGCGTGTACGAATGCATGCATGCATGATGTATGTATGCATGCATGTTTGCGTGTTAGTATGTTTAAATGCCCGCTTGATGCGTGCATGTATGCATGTGTAGGTAAGTATGCTCTTGTTGCCCCTGTCCTAGCCTAGGCTTTCTCTGCACTAGTGGAACGCTCGGGCTCTGTCGCCTTCCAGGATCCCAGCGTGGATTTCATGTGCCGTGGAGCCCCGGTGAAGGCAGCGCAGGCTGCGAAGGTGGGCTTCAGGGCTTCAGAGCTTGTGGGGATTCGGGGTTCAAGGGTATAGGGCTTTAGGCATAGAGTTTAGGGTTCTCTAGGTTTTTAGGGCATTGGGTTTAGGGTTTTGTAGTTTTACCATGTGATCTGGCGAGTAGCTCAAATGTGTGGGTCCGCAGGAATAGGATTTGCAGGCTCGCCTGGCATGCAGGGGTACGCCTGGCAGAGGGCACGAGTGAAGGGACTTGCCAGAAGCATTTCCAACGCAAAGCTAAAGCCCAGGCAGAATCAACAGCCGCATCAGGTGCTTCAGAAGAGTCGTTACCCTAGTGTTTGGTGCAAGAATGTTGTTTGCTGGACTGCCCGACCATGGTAAGTAATTACTCTGCTCACTTCTGGAGGTGGGTATCTTTGATGAGGTGGTCGAGGCGGGCGACAACGCAATGGTTGTCCAGGCCTGGGCAGGGTTTAAAATTTTCGAGCTTAGGGCCGTTTAGGGTTAAGGTCTGCGTATGAGACCCAAACCCAAAGCCCTAAACCACGAAACCCTAAACCCTAAACCACGAGGCCCCTGACAAAGCGGGCCCCCAACAACCACCGTCAGCCCAGAGCCCCAAAACGGCTAAAAACTGACCGGGTTTAGGGTTCAGGGTTCAGGCTTAGGGGTTTGAGTTTAGGGTTTAGGGTTTAGGGTTCAGGGTTTAGGGCCTAGCGGTTTAGCGTTTAGTGTTTAGGGCTTAGGAACTAGATCCCGATCCCTAAGCCCCAAACCCGAAAAAATCGTAAATCAGATCATTTGAAGCCCAACAAGCTAAACCCTAAACCCTAAACCCTATCCCCAAAGCTTGAGGCCTACATAAACCCGCCAAGGAGCCCCTCCGAGCCTAAATCCTTAACTTGGGAGGCCTCTGGGATATTGTATGTTTAGGGTTTAGGGTTTAGTGTTTGGGGTTTAGGGTTTAGGGCTTTAAGGGTTTAGGGCTTTAAGGGTTTAGGGTTTAGGGTTTAGGGTTTAGGGGTTTAGGGTTTAGCTTGTTGGGCTTCAAATGATCTGATTTACGAGCTTTCTACCTAGAGCCTCCCTCCATCTACCCTCTTATAGAGGGGTGGGACTACATGCTGACTCACGGGTTGGGGTTTAGGGTTTGGGATTTAGGCTTCAGCAAGGTCAGGGTTTCGTGTTAAGGGCTTAAGGTTGGGGGTTGACGGTTTAGGGTTTAGGGCTTAGGGTTGGGAGTTGATGGTTTAGGGTTTAGGGTTAGCGTAGCATGACAAGAAAGAAGAAGCCGAAGACTAACAGTAGGATGTCGCATAAAACATCGTAGCATGGCCCTGAATTCTTCTCTTTGGGCCAGAGGCAGCGGTGAACTTCGCAGCCCGACAGGCACCGTTTGCATCGCATGCGTGCTGAAGTTTTAGGGTTTGGCCAATTAGGGCTGAGACCCAGCCCTAAACCCTAAACCCTAAACCCTAAACCCTAAACCCTAAACCCCTAAACCCCTAAACCCTAAACCCTAAACCCTAAAGACCGACAAGCCCAACCTTGAACCTGCAAAGCCAACCCCACAGCCCCAATGAAGCCCTAAACCCTTCAACACTATATAGCAAATTACTCCACGACCTTCTTGAGCCTTGCACTTACATCTGTCCCTGGGACCTCCTGCGCAGTTTGTTAACTATCAAGTACTGGTATGTATGTGTCTATTTTATATGTGTATGTATATACACACACACACACACTCACTCATTTCGTTGAGTGATCTTCTGTTTATTTGCAACCTGTTCATAGTTTAATACGTCACTATGCATCTACCTATACAATTTTAGGTTGTAGGGTTTACGCTTGCGCAAGGGCCTTGAGTGAGATGCGCCCGCTTGAGTTTTCAAGGGCTTGCAAGGCACTGTTGCCAGCTATCCAAGCAATAGGCTTCAAACCCTCAACCCTACACCTCAAAACACTTAAACCCAAGCCGAAAACCTAAACTCTAAAACAACCCTAAGCCCCTTAGCCTAGCACCCTGCTGAAATAGCAGAGTGAAGCTTCGGGTCCTTTCAGTTCAAAGCCGAGTCAGCTGCAGAAGAAACCCCAGGATTCAATTTAGAGTTTGGGGTTGATAGTTTCAGACCTTGGACCCAAAATATATGTAGAATACTAGCCCTTTGTAGGTCTTGGGCCTTATTCTTGCCAGCGTCATGTCGCGCAGTAATAGCAGGAAGGAGTGTTTGTTAGCGACACCAAGTCAGTCACCTGCGTACCCTCCCCTCGCAGCTCAACGTGGACCTTGCGACCAGAAGACTCTGAGACTTGGTAGCAGTCTGAACATGGTGCTGGGCAATATGGCAGAGTGAGTGAAACACACGAGCACGCCGCATGATTTCCATTCTGCTTCATGTAGTTGCCGTACAGCAGATGTTGAAAAATGCAGTGCTGGATGCAGCCAGCTATCCTGTCTTTTGGCAAAAGCTAGGGTCCTACTATGGAGTAGTCGCTGTGCTGGAGGCGGTGGTGGTGGTGGTTGTGGTGGTGGTGGTGGTGGTAGTAGTGGTGGTGGTGGTGGCGGCAGCCGTGGCAGTGGCAGTGGCAGTGGCAGTGGCAGTGGCAGTGGCTGTGGCTGTGGCTGTGGCTGTGGCTGTGGCTGTGGCTGTGGCTGTGGCTGTGGCTGTGGCAGTAGCAGTAGCAGTAGCAGTAGCAGTAGCAGTAGTAGTAGTAGTAGTAGTAGTAGTAGCATCATCAGCAGGAGTAGTAGTAGTCGTAGTAGTAGTGGAAGTAGTA